ATCTCTCCTGTAGGGTCGCAAGAAGGCAGCTGGGCGAAGAAGATGAGCTGAAGAAAAAAAAGATGGAGGACAAACAAATGGGGCGTCTACTCTAATGTCGTGGATGAGTGACGAAGGAAAGAAAATATGGACATTGAACTTTTTTAACTTTTCATACGCAGATGCTCCTACTGTTACACAAGTTCACACACTTGCATAAACCACATGCACACTACATGAGTACATCAGTTTCATCAGCTGTGGGTTGTTGCATTGTGTTGCATTGTGATGATGTTCGCCACATTAAGTAGAAATAATTTTAACAGGAAAACAAAAAAAGATCACTCTTGTAAATAGTCTCTTATGTCTGTTCATGTTCTGTTGTTGTGTTTGATGCTGACTGGGGGGATGCTGTGAGCCTTTTCCCCGACAATATTATTATTACAATTCTCCCATAAAGGAAATATTGCTTATCAATCATTCCCTCTGTGTCACACTTTTAAAAACTGAAGAGATTAACATGCATTATCTTATTGTCATGTTAATTGTATTATTTTACTTTAAAAGAAAACATGTTTTTGTTTACAGCACTGTATATTAATACCTTTTTTTACTATGTATTAAAACATTTAAAAACAATGTCAGAAAACCTGTCCAAATTTAGATTTGCCTCGGGAAAAGGTTGTAGTGTGTGATTCATTTTAAAGTTTGTACTTCCTGGTAGATGAGGTCATGAGCAGCTGTGGTTGTAGTTTGTGTCACTGCTGATTAACTTGGCTTCACATCCACCCAGTCACATCCTCCGTTGTATCAATATAATTCTCTATAAAACCTGAAATGCTCCATTTCTCTTTATTCCAACTTGAAGTCTTGGATGAGGCAGTTTGCGTTTTTCTGAAGGACAACCTAATCTGTGATGACTTCAGGTTTTAGAGACATTTGGAAAGAAGGACGTGTTTGGTAGTCTACAAAACCATCTTGAAGTTAATCTAAAATTCAGAGTTTTAAAGAAAAGTTCAACATTTCTGTCATTGAGTGTTTTTTTTTTTATGTCGTACATGCAATGCTTTAAAAATAATTCCAAGGTAAGTAAGGGTTAATGTATCATCCTTGGGAAGAAACACCGCATAAATGGTAAATTACCCTCCATGTTGGTTTGTTGGATGACGCAGTGGTTCGTCTTGGAGGTATTATCACGCTAATATGATCTACACTGTACCTTGGACACTTGACAATAAGTTATTTTGAATTACAATACAATTATTAGTCGGTAATTGACACAAATAACTAATTTTGATATTGCTTTTTGTTTTGCTATGCAAGATTTAAGCAGAAACATGTTTACAAGTTGAGTTCAGGTATAACTTTCAATCTGACGTCAGGGTTTCGCGCCAATATGACAAACATGTTTTAATCTAATTTACACGGTTCTGCCTGAGAAGCTATTCTGTCCTTTTTGTTTGGTACTGAGAACAAATAACACTTGCTCAAACTTTTTTTGACCCTAGCTTGTTGCTGTCTCTCTCCACATACTCTAGCTCAGGGGTGTCAAACTCAAATACACAGTGGGCCAAAATTAAAAAATCGGTAGGCCTACTAGTCGAGGGCCGGACTGGTTCAATGTTTATTACAAAACTTATTGAATTGAATTTATTGCACATATTAAACCTGGAACTAACAAAGCTTAAATTATTGCCTATAAAAACAACATTAAATAATCAGTTGCATTCATTTCTTATGGCTCTATCTGCAGCTTTTCCGGAGTCATTTCTTATGATTACATTTTTCCACAGGCCGACAACAGCTTCAAAAAACAATTTCCCTCAAAGAAAAAAACAAACATGCCCTGTTGTCACAAGAAAAAAAGTGCATAAGGAAACATCCATTGAAACTCAGTTTGCTGCTCTGCGATGCTAGTTTAAGCCAGATACTTGGCATCTCATTTTAGGTGCAAGTTCATCAATGTTTGGGGTCAGGCTCAACGGCACCCGCGGGAGCCACAACAAGCTGAGGAAATCCTCAGGATTGAGTGAAGGTGTGCGTGCAATATAACGGCGGGCCAGATCTAATAGTAATTAGAAATTATCCTGCGAGCCGAAATTAAATCCACCAAGGGCCTGATTTGGCCCCCGGGCATTGAGATTGACACATGTGCTCTAGCTAGTTTACTGGTTATACATTTAGAACTGGACGGTCTGGACCCAAACATTTCCGGATACTGAAAGGTAAACTACTCCTTCAATACATTAAAAATGCACAGTAATAGCCCAGGTGTAAATAATCAAATGAACCATGCAGTTGCTTCAGTATCAGGCTTCTTATTGTGCATGCTGGCTCACTGTCACGTTATCATGGCTTTTTGAGAAGTGAATTTATCAAACTACTACAACAATAAAATGCCTGTCAGAAGTAATGACAAAATATCTTCCCAACTAAACGTGCGGTATTTCATCAAACTGTTTCATCACCATTCACTATAGTAGTTTGATATTTTCAGGCTGTCAGCAGATTTTATATTGCATTTGTTGTATTGATGCATACCCTGTTTAAAATTAGTAGGCTATGTGGTAGCAGATCTGGGTCACAGTTTATAGATTATGCATAGTAAAATGACTGGAGAATTTATTTTGGAGCTTATTTTAGTGAAAACCTTTGAACAACAACAGTACATCAAATGCATATTTTCTCTAATTTCAGGCCAAAACAGAAGAAAGAAGATGGGGCCATGACGGCAAGATTTAAGATAGAAGGAACATATCACTGTGCAAGTATTGCTTTACATTATACAGGTAATGCAGATTATTTCTGATGTGTATGGGAATGAACAACCGGCTGAATAATTAAACTTTTCTGTTGTCTTAAAAATGGTTTTACCCAACTTTAAGTATCGGTTTCCAACCTGGGGGTCTCGACTCCCTTAGGATACCAAAGCTTCAATGGGGTTGGCAAGGCCTTCTTGGTTTTAAGGGCTGTAGGAAAACAGTCAAACACTCAAATAAATTGTCAGAAAAGCCTAATTGTTACAAACAAAAACACATTTTATAATAACTTATATAGAGACTAAGACCAACATTTATTTAACAAATAACAGTCAATCTGATCTCTGATGCAATATCCACAGGAAATAATCTTCTCAGAAGTTATCCAAATCACTAATATTACACAAACTATGATGTTGTAATGCATTAAATATAATTTGAATGATCCATATGCCACTTAGTCAGGGGTTCAGTTTTTAATGATTGAGAAGGCCCCCTTAAGGCAGAGGTCCCAAAGCCACTGGATGAGCTGTACATAAAGTAATTTTCCCAATCTAAATAGCATGTCAGACTGTATCCATTTTTTCCCACATCTTCAAGACCAGAATCATGCCCTATATTCAAATTGGCTCAGATTGTACCATACACGCTAACCTGTCAGAACCGGTTTGTTCTCTCATGCTGCTAAGAATCACTTGATGGTGTTTTTCCTGTGTTATATATACATGGAGGATTGCAGTGCTCTACATTGATTATGCATGTATAGGCTGCACTTTAGATTTGAACTTTCCAGTGCAATTTGGCTTGGTGGAAAAACAACCACACATCAGTTCTGCCCTTGGTGATGATCCATGACCGGCCGTGATCACGTGCTGTCGGTGAGTCTGCTTCCTGCATCCAATAAACCACCTGCCTTTCAGGGCAAACACAATTATTTACAACATTATTCATCTCTGTAACTTGCTAAACTGAGCATGATTTAAAATAGATGTGGCTGTGGTTTAATTTAATCTTTTTTGACATTTGTATTTTTAAGTGGATGACACACAGGGCGAAATGCCCAGGCTGCACAGGGTGCCAGTATCTTGCTCATTCAAAAATATAACATTTGTTGACAATTAATAACAATTTGATACATAATATCGTTATGTCTTCATGAATTATTAAGCAGGTGCTTTACTGATAAGTCTTTCTAAACCATATTCACAATGTCAAGGCAGCAACTTTATTCTTATTGTCAATCTGCTATGTATTTTGTATTTATCTGTCTTCCAATTTTAGGACTATTGGACAATCAATCAATTATTTTAACCCGAAAAAAACATCTCCTGTGATTATTGTTTACTTTCAACTGTATATTTTAAACATAAACACAATTTAAAATAATATGAGCTAAACTATCCTGAACAATTTCCATTCTGATATGTCATGCCTCCCTCTGAGAACTGACAATGTATTCATTTATTGAACCCCCCCCCCCACACACACACACACACACACACACACACACACACACACACACACACACACACACACACACACACACACACACATCCATACAACAGGCCAACACCTCTTCAGTTAAATATGCATGGTGCTATATGGACCACGATTGCCAGCAGTAAGAGTTTCCAAGCAACCGAGCTGATGCAGGAAGATAAAGAAGTAATGTGATCACGGCAGGACTGTTTGCATTTCTTCTCCTCGCCCCCCAACTCTCCCCTCTCTCCCCCATCATATTCTGCCTGCACACACTGACTGACCCCGTGAGAAATGCAGATGAGTTTTTGTTCTGCTCTTGACATGTGACATTTAAAAGGAGTTATGAGATGATCTGCCAGCTGAGGTTGAATGATAATTGTGCTGTCACTGAGATCATATTAGGCTTTTGCACCTGGGTCTCTCTCCCTGTCTGTTCTGGATGGAGTATTAATAAATAAAAAGTAAAAGTGCTAATTTTAAAGAAAAAGCACACATGAGGTCTTCCTTAAACAGACTCAAAAAACAACAGCTCTAAGTTTAAAAAAAAGAAAAATCATATTTGGATACATTGAGTTACATGTTAAACAAATGTGTCCCTGCTTTGTAAGCAATTGACCATTTGGGGCTCTTAACATCATGCTGTGCCTGGAGACCTTCGTGCGTCAGGTGCTCTGGCTAATAATTGATAGATGTGTAGAGGCAGCGTGTGGTGGGTTCACAGCTGGCTGGCTGCACTCCACAGCCCACTGCTTAGTCACCAAAGCCTCCAAGGCAGCATGGTTAAATAACGATAAGAGTTAAAAACTGGACATCAGAGGCCAGTATTGACAGGCACCATGAGCGGTCTGCTCGCCCTTTTGACATTTCTGGCCTTCACCTCTGTGGCTGCAAAGCCCAACGCTGGGTTAAAAACGTGGGGACGTTTCAGAAAGCTGCCTTATCCTGGAGATATGGCGTTCCTCTATGATACCTTCCCCGAGGACTTCATATGGGCCGTGGGCACCGCTGCGTACGAGGTGGAGGGCGCGTTTGAGAAGGACGGCAAGGGGCTTTCTATTTGGGACACTTTTACGCGCGGTGGGAACCGGATGGCCACCGGGGACGTTGGCAGCGACAGCTATCACAACATCCGCGCCGACATCAGAGCCATCAGCCAGCTCGGGGTCAGCCACTACAGGTTCTCCCTGTCCTGGTCCAGGATATTTCCCAACGGCACCCGCGGGAGCCACAACGAGATGGGCACCAACTACTACCGGAACCTCATCAAGAAACTGAAGGATATCCGCGTGCAGCCGGTGGTCACGCTCTACCACTGGGACCTGCCCGACCACCTGCAGCAGACCCTCGGCGGCTGGGGCAATCCGGAGATGGTTGGGATTTTTAAAGACTACGCAGATTTCTGTTTCCAGACTTTCGGGGATGATGTGAAGTACTGGATCACCATTGACAACCCGTTTGTGGTGGCGCGGCACGGGTATGGCACCGGAGTGGTCGCTCCCGGGATAAAAAACGACCCTGATCTCCCGTTCCGGGTCGGACATATTCTCCTTAAAGTGGGTTTTCCTTTTTTATTTTATTTTTTATGTTTGTAGCAAAGCAAAAAGTATAATAATCTTCTCTGAAATGTTGCAAAAAAAGCATGAAATGGAAATACTATATATGAAAATTAAGACATTTCCATTGAGGACAGTAGCCTTAGTGTACTTTCCACCACTGCTTTTATCTACTTTATTGTGTTTTTTTATGTTATTATGTTTTTTACATTTCCTAGTCTTAAAATCTCCATCAATCTTTTACTTTTTGATTCCAATTCCTCTTTTATTTTGAGGTGCAGTCAATGTTTCATCTGCCTTATTAGTTTTCAGTCACCTGTAAAGGACTTTAAACTGCACTGACCAGACCTGAGTAAAATAAATATTGAGTGATACATTGTCTTCATTTTGTCTTTCCCACCCCTCACCATCTCTTCCCATCATCATTTTATATCTCCCTCTTCTCCTCCTCTGTCTGCCCATCACTTCTCTCTTTCTCTTCCTGTTTCTCCTGAAGGCTCATGCCGCTGTGTGGCACCTCTACGACCGGCTCTACCGCCCGCGTCAGCAGGGCCAGCTCTCCATGGCTCTGGCCTCTCACTGGATCAAGCCCAGCCGCACTCGCCTGGAGAGCCTCAAAGAGTGTCAGTGCTCCCTGGATCACGTCCTGGGCTGGTTCGCCCGGCCCCTGTTCACAGACGGAGACTACCCCCCCTGCATGAAGGAGAGGCTGGGCTCCCGGCTGCCCTCCTTCACCCCCGAGGAGAGGGCGCAGGTGAACGGGACAGCAGACTTCTTCGCCCTCTCTCACGGAGCGGCCCTCAGCTTCCATCTCATCAACGACAGCCTGAAGTTTGGGCAGCTGGAGGAACTGGACCTGAGGATGCTGCTCTACTGGGTCAACGCGGAGTACAACAAGCCGCCCATCTTCGTGGTGCAGAGCGGTTGGTAGGTGTGGGTGTTGGGTTATTTACTCCATGATGTTCTTGTCTCTCCTGGTGTGCTGGAACATCTTGTTTTAACTACTTCTCAACACAGGTACGTTCTTGGCAATACTAAGACGGAAGACCCAAAACACATGTACTACCTCAAGAGGTTCATCGCAGAGGCACTAAAATGTGAGTTCTGATAGATGCATTGTTTAAATAACTGGCAACTATTTTGATGATCAATTAGCTGTTGCAAAAATTCAGTTTTCAGCCTCAGTAAGTATGATGATTCCAAGCTTTTCTCTTTTTTATATCATATTAAACTATTTTCAAAGATATTAACTTGGGCTTTGAGAAACTTCGATGACATTTTTTTACTATTTTCTGAAATGTTACAGAACAAGCGATCAATCCATAATGAAAATAACCGTTGCCCTAGTAATGCACAGTCTGATATCATCCATCTAACACAACAGTTGTTTCCCATTTCCTATGATCAACATTAACCCTTTTACATGAAACTTAAGTAAGGAAAAAACATGTCACTTGAATCTTTGCTCACCATCTGTCTGTGTTTGCCAAACAGCGATCATCATAGACGGAGTGAACGTGATTGGATACACAGCCTGGTCTCTGATAGACGGCTTCGAGTGGCACAGGGAATATGGGATACGACGGGGACTTTACTATGTTGACTTTAACACTCTTGACATGAAAAGGGAGCCAAAGACATCTGCCACCTTTTACAGGTACATGTTATCATGTGGGGATTTATTTTACAAAAGTATGAATCAGATACCTTTTGATTTTCACAAATAAAAATAATTTATACTAATATTTCTATTAAGGCTAATTTCTAGTTTTTTCATTCTGTTGAATATTCATTATTCTTAAAGAAACGTCATCCAGAGGAACGGTTTCCCAGAGCTCCCAGAGAACAGACCAGCACAGGGAATATTTCCGTGTGATTTTGCCTGGGGGGTGTCTGCCAACTCCATACAGGTACAGTATGTGTGTGTGTGATAGAGAGAACAAAGAACCACTGACCTGTGCAATGACTACACCACTCCAAATACAGTAATTTCCATCACTATGTGGGAAAGAGAGTGGTGTGTTTTCTCCTCATTGTTAGGTTACTATAGCATCTGCTTAAAAAAGTGAGAAGAAACATTGAAAAAAATAAAATTGGCTTCACAAAAATATTAGAAGAGGAATCGAGTGTGTGTGTGTGTGTAATGTATAAGTGTGTTTTGGAAAAAAAGGTGAGTTGCCAAAGGGCAGAGGTCTGATAATGAAACAAGAATACTTCCTCATAAATAGAGGAACTTGAGAAAACATTAACAATGTATTAACTCTCGGTTAAGAGAGTGAGTATAGACTTCACTAATATTTACTGAAGTGTGAAGTTATGTCAACTCTGCAAAAAGAAAATCCTGTAAATAATAATGGTGTTATTATTGCTATTTTAAACTCTGATTTAGTGTTGTGAGAAATGAAGTTGGCATGTGTGATTCCTCTCCTTTTTTAAGTTTCATCATGTTCAGCACATCATTTCTTTTTAACTTGCAATTTCCATGGTGAAAGTCCAGCTCAGAATCAGCCGTGACGATGAATCCTCTCTTAATCATAAACCACATATCCTCACACCATGCAGATGAGCTATAACAGGAGCAACAGTTATTATTGATTTGGACCCATCTCACTTTTCTTTGAATATGTGTGTTTAAGGTAAATGAGGGTAACAGGGTGAGCGAGTGCATGTTTACATTACATCTTCTGTTTTAACATACACTGTTTATATATATTTTCTCATGTCATGTCAGGTGGAGACCACGCCCAGCCAGTTCGCAGACTCCAGTGTTTACTTGTGGAACATCTCCAACAATGGAGAGCTGATTAGGCTGGAGGGCGTCACAGCCCCCCCTGTGCGCCGAACCACACACTGTGCAGATTACGCCACCATCGGACAACAGGTAGGCCCCCCTACCAGGGTTTATATTTTGTATAGCTTAATGCATTCAAAATGGAGGAGGAGAATGAGTTTGCACTGAAATGTTGACGACAAAAACTATGACGTTTGTTAGGGCCATTGTAGGTATAGTGTTGTTTTTTTTGTGAAGGAAGCAAATCTCTTTCCAAGCTTGGACTAATGTCATCACACATGCATGCCAATGAGGAGTTGTAACATGCCATACCCTCTCATCTGTTCGATGCGTCATAGTTCCTAGTGCAAAAAAGCCGAATCAGAAAGATGGTTTTCAAGCTTTATTTTTTGCTAATTCAAATTTTAAAGTATAATTTAATTAGGTCATCCACTATAGGCATAGAAAACAGCAAGCACCCGCATCTTGGTGTGATGAGGGTGATCCAATCTGGAAAAAAGATCATGTAAAATTGTACTTTAATCTCAGAAAATGTTCAGTCTGAGAGAATATAAGGTTTTTCCCTTAGTAAATGTACTTTAAACTCAACTTATTGGGTTGTATGTGTGTTGTTTCTTCAGGGTGAGTAAAAGAAGTTACATGTGTATCCTCCCCCCTCTCTGTACCACAGGTGGATGAAATCCGGCGGGTGGGGGTGAACCACTTCCACTTCGCCCTCAACTGGTCAGCCGTGGTGCCTTCAGGTGACGTGGCTCATCCCAACAGCTCCCTGCTGGGCTACTACCGCTGCTTCACCCGCCAGCTGCTGCAGGCCAACGTCACGCCCGTGGTCACTCTGTGGCACCACACCCGGCAGCGCAGCAGCCTGCCCGCCCCGCTGGACACCGCCAACAAGTGGCTCAACAGGTGGGGTAAAAGCCCTTTAAATCCAGTTTCCCATTTGAAATTACAAACATGATTATAGAGCATACTTCATGACTCTTAAAGCTTAAAAGTCTGTACCAAACATCAAACGAATAAATACCCAGGTATGGTGTTAAGCAATTTCCGATGATTTCTGGTCTGATGTTAAAGTCAATATGCGTCATTGACGTTCCCTGGAACAGTCTGTCCTCGTCCACACTCCTGTGTCCTGCTCTCACTTGCTGCCATGGTATCATATTTACTTTTCCTGTAATAAAGCGATATCACTAAACCCACTGATCATCACAATATTTGAACTGGATCCAATGTATTGGCATTTTCTTTTTCAAATTTAAAAACATCTCCTTAGATCTATCTCGGACATTAAAAGTCATGTAGTTCTGATGAATACTTGTATAAACGCAATCTTAGTTCATTTATCAAATTTCCTCTTCGGACTTCTTCTCTCAGGGAGACTCCAGAGGCGTTTGCAGACTATGCCAGACTCTGTTACAGAGAACTAGGGGCCCATGTGAAGATGTGGATCACCCTGAATGAGCCCAACGATGAGATTGTGGGCTACCAGGAGGGACATCAGATGCTGCGGGCGCACGCTCTGGCCTGGCACGCATACGACCGCGAGTTCAGACACTCCCAGGGAGGAAAGGTCAGTAGGGGCATTTATTTATTTGAATACATTTATACTACCTGTATGTTGTTGTGCTTTGATGTAAGTATTCAAACAGCCAGCAGGATGATATCTTTTCTAATGGAGTTTCTGTTAGAATTTGTGTGTGCGACTTTTTTGTCGATATGTTTACAAGTTTACCTCTTGGTGTTTTTACTATTTCTATAGCATAAATGACTCTTTCTAAAACAAGTTATGTGAAATACAACACCTCCTTGTGCACCACAGGACTCCACAAAGTATTTTAATCAGTAATATACTAAATGTGAAACGTTTCATAAATTACACATTGGCTGAATCACGTCAGTCTCTAGAAGAATGAAAATGACACAGACCTGCACGTCCATGTTTTGTGTCTCAGGTGTCTCTAGTTCTGCACATGGACTGGGTGGAGCCGGCGTTTTCCTTCAGCCGTGAAGACGTGGAGCCAGCTAAAAGGGTTTTAGATTTCCGCGTCGGCTGGTTTGCAGAGCCGATCTTTGGCAGTGGAGACTATCCTCTGGGAATGAGGAGCTGGCTGCGTCAGCTCAACTCTCTTGAGTATAAACACTTCATTCATACTCCATACAGTCGCTTTGTTGGCTATAAAATAAACATTTCAGTTTAGAGTCACAATGAAGACATTTCAACAGATCATCTAGCTTCTGTCATTTCATGTATATCTGGTTTTAACAGGAATCAAGGGTTGGAATATTGCTGTGATTATTCAAAGGTGTGATATGCTGGAATATCAGTATTATTGATCATGATGTTGTAGAAGCAATATAAAATAAATTACGATGACAAGTATAAACATATGATAGGTAATTTGGCAAAGTTAAACCACTATCTATTGTACAAGTTTTATCATCTCCTGTTTACATTTTGTTTTCCTACAGCCTGCCAGTGTTCAATGAGGAGGACAGACAGCTGGTCAAAGGGACATATGACTTCTTTGCCATCAGTCACTTCAGTACCGAGTTGGTGACGCATGCCAAGGAAGACTCGTAAGATAAAATATTTGTTTTTCCTTTTTTATGACGGTGGGAAAAGAGACATTTGCTTGTTAACCACTATGCCACTGGACACATGTTTTTCCCTGATGTAGAGACACATCCAGCATCTTAAAGACATACATACATGAACATGAAATGAGAATGCTTTTTACGACACATAGTTTCTGTATCATCTCCATGTCTGCAGCTACACCTACGGAGCCATGCTGGAGGTCCAGCACATGATCGACACCACATGGATCATGTCCCCGAGGCCTGTGGTGCCCTGGGGCCTGAGGAAAGCCCTCAACTGGGTGAGAATAGTTTCGCACAGACATCTGAAGTATACTTGTGATCTGTCCTTTTCTTTACTATACAAAAACCCGTAATAGCAGGTGTATTGACAGGGCAGACAGGGTTTGATTTGAGACAACCAAGAAAAATGAAGATGTTCCTGCTGCTACAACACCATCACTACCCATACTTCACTGTTTTCCCCTCCACTCAAACAATGTGTTTTGCTTATATTTAAAATTCTCTATGCACACCAATAATTGACGTCACAATGATGTATGAGATATCTCGTGTCCAGCAGTTAAACTTAAAAAAATGAACAGCAGTTGCGTATTAATTGAAAGCTGAACAATTAATCAGAGTTTAATCAAAAACTCAACATTTTGTGTCGAGATTATATTGAAATATTTATTAGAGCTATGGCCAAATTGCAGTCGGCACATTATTTGTAGAAGGCAACATATGTGTCAAATTACTATTCTGTTATCAGTTAAGTATTATGGTTCAATGTAAATTTCCCCTTTGTTTGACGAATAAAGGAATTCAGATTTTGATGCTCACACCATGATCATTGAATATTTTGTATTTGTTTTTATTTGTTCTTGCCTTCTGCCATGTAAGGTGAGGGAGCACTACTGTGATGTCCCTGTCTATGTGATGGCTAACGGGGTCCAGGAGGACCCGGCCCACTTCAAAGACAGTCTGAGAGTCTACTACCTGTACAACTACATCAATGAGGCCCTGAAAGGTGAGACCACAAACACACACATCTGCTGTGGAGCTTTCTTTGTATTAATGCATTGCTCTCAAGAGCAGCATGTTGTTATCACTGCATTAGTACACTGCGTGATCAATCCTTTGGCGGGGATTGAAGTTTTTCCCCTTGGCCTCTGTATGGCTTAATTATTAGACAAGTATTTGGGTCACTGCCCTCTGAAAAGTCAGCTGACTCAGAACACACACATCAAAATATCAACAGAGACACACTCTGCACTCTAATTGTGGAGTCAAGGTTACTCGCTTTTCAATTACCTGTCCTTGTAAAGTTTATCGGGGTAAACTCAGCGAAGACCTTGGTTGGCACTTCGAAACAGTGCACTGCAGTGTCATGCTATGATGTGCACAAAGTGTCATGTCATTGTTTGTTGCAGTGTGCTCTGTCACCACTAGGTGTCATCACCCAAATATAAACAGTTTGTAATGTATATATTTATTTAGACTGTAAGGTAACTTATAAGGAATGAATTCATTTTTAAAAGCTTTATGAAACCTCTGGTTTGATATTTGAAAGACTTCTTACAGTTGTGACCTAGAAAATCAAACAATTGACTTTGTGAATTCTTATTAGGAAAAAACCTCTATTAGCAATGTTTGTAATTCACGCTAAATGCTCAAAAAACATGATGATTGTGGTACAAATTGGGTAAAAAGTTAACATACAAGTAAAAATGTAGATGAGCTCATCATATTTCTAAAGTACTTGTAATCACTTGTAGTTTCTTTTCTCAGCTACAAAAAGTATTGCTTTTGAATGGATGTTTGGGAAAGGCTATATGTGCTATATATTTTTGGGTAATTCTTAATAGTAAAGCATCATAATAAATCACTTATAAGACACTCATATGTAGCTCTAAGCAGATATGAGATATTTATTGATGTAGCTGTTTAATAGCTGTTCAAGTTATTGAATGACAATACAACACAGTCATGACACTTTTTTTTTCAAAGGAGTTTGAAGGAAAAGTAACTGTACAGTTATAAACACGTGTACCTGGTTCTGCTATTTAATATACCATACATTTATATGTATATACAGCGTACACACTGGACGGAGTAAACCTGAAGGGCTACTTTGCGTACGCCCTGAGCGACGAAAGAGACCCGCGCTTCGGCATGTACGGTCACGTTCAGGAAGAGGTCATCATCAAGGCCTCTCTCTCCAACTACCGCAACATCATCCAGCACAACGGCTTCCCCATCCAGGGCGCACCGCCGCAGCAATGTCCCAGCATGCCTCAGCCCTGCCTCGGCTGCCACGTGCTGGTCAAGAGGCCCTGGCCCGTGGTGGGCTTCCTGATGCTGGTGGGTTCAGGGGTGCTGATCACCCTGGGCCTCATTATCTACTACACAGCCAAGAGGCACAAGGAGTGTTACTGATGAGAGTGGCGGTTTTATTTTTAGGAAAGAAAGAAATTGGCTTGTTCTGCAGTGTGGAGTTCAATCTCAATTTTACTTTTACTTAAGTCTCAATTATTGGATTTATTTTGACTTTCATGTTGAATGAAGTCTGAAAAGTGGTCCAATCACCTACACATGTTTAGTGTTGCAACTGCTATTACATGTTGTTAGGTTACCAAACCTGAGGAACCTTTTACAGCCAATATAGACTGCACATTATTAGCATCCAGGATGGTGTATGTCAGATTTTCAAAACTGTTTGTTTGTGATCTAATGTTGATTTGGTAAGTCAAAGGTCACCGATTAGGTTACCATTTTTTGAGACCTCTTGCACTCCAACCAATAGTTTACCCATAATATTCAAAGCAGAAGTTATCCAGAGGAGGAAACCTGTGAATAATGTTTAAAAGATGAAACTGGATGTTAATACCGGAAAAACATCTGATCGGACTATTTTACACGTTTAATGTAATGTTGTTTATGCAGTTTTTGTGCGTGAGTTTAACTGTTCTTAGTGCTCAATTTGAAATGAGTTTGCTTACATAAGGTTAGAATAGAATTAGCACCTTTACTACATTTTTCTTGTTGTATAAGACCAAAAATATATATACCTGAAGCACCCATAGTTACCGGTAGATTCGGGAAACTTTAGTTTTATTAATCCCCCCTCAATCCCTCCCCATGTTTCCCTTTCTACCTTTGAGCAACTTCAGACTGTATTATAGTGATAGTGTCGTGTCATAAAATGCACGTCTGGTGATTTACATAGAGCAACACCAGGCCTTTTGAATAAACAATGCAATGTATTATGTTGTTCTGATGCAGATTTGTATGAAAACATTTATTTCTCTTGATTCATATTATAATACAAATGTTTGCCTGCAAGTGCTTCTATCAAAACCGCTCTTTTCTGGAATATTTTACACCACTATAGTGAAAGTTGAAGTGCTGTTGAAATCCTTCCAGGAAAAGCGCCAGTATTTTAAGTCCATTCAGAATCAGAACATCATGGCATCCAGACCGTCTTCCATGAATTTCTTGTAGATGGCCATGAACTTGGCAACAAAGGCCTCGAGGTGGTAGATGGCTTTGTTGCCCAGCTGCAGTCTGTGTTCGTAGAACGCTGCCATTTGGGCCACCTCTGTCTTCAGCTGGCCGTCACAGTTACTCAACAACTCGGTAACCAGACCCTGGAAGAGGATTGGAAAAGGAAAATGTAATTATAACCTTAAACATCACGTCAAACCTTTTCTATGCGGTGTATTGAACGGTACCTTCATAATGATATCAGGGGGGATGCAGTGAGTCAGCAGCTCGTACAGCCTCGCTCGAACCTCCAACAACCTGGAACAGATGATGATTCAATATTTAAATATCAACACAAAACTGATTAACTTTACTTGGTAGCTTAAGAACCAACTAAACAGCCTCTTTCTCTTTGCATCCTACCTCTGAGGGCTTTGCTGGCTCACGATGGCATTAGCGGTTTCCCTGAGATACACCTGCCAATCCGTCTCTGGGACGTCCTGGTCCGCGGAGAAGGGGTACCTGGGAAAGATCGGCATGTATTAAATAAGCTGAATCTACAGATATTGCTAGGGAGTAATAATAGTTACTTTACTACTTACTGCTGCACTCTACAGGCCTCACACATCAAAAGCGCTTTGCGGAGGTTGCGTCCAGACTTATCAGAGATATTCTTCGCTAGCTCAGGTGGGAGGAGCAGACCCTCTTTTTTACAGATTGATGTCAATACATTACAGACCTGCCAAACAGAAAGGAGAAAATTGAATGAATTTCCACATGATTCTGCAGCTACTTTTAGGTTTTCTAATATGCTACTTTTCGATGATTACTTCTTACAATCTGAAACACATTATCTCCATCTTACCTCTTCTGTGCTCGGCAGAGGGACTCTGATAGCGAGACAACGGCTCCGAATCGGCTCAATGACTTTGGAGGTGGAGGTAGAGCAGAGGATGAGCCGGCAGGTAGACATGTACTTTTCCATTGTCCGGCGCAAAGCATGCTGGGCATCCTTCGTGAGTCTGTCCACCTCTGTTAGCAACACAACTGAGAACAAAGGTGTGCAGATTACAGTGACAGTCGGATAATGTTCACAGATCCACATGTTTAGGATTGATTTAAGAAAACAAATATTGTTCTTAAACATGGACCTGCATTCACAGATTAGAGCGGAACAAAAGTTTGTGTCTTTCCTACCTTTGAACTCTCTCTGGGTGCTCGACTGGATCTGCTGAGACTGAGCCATGGTTTTTATCAGCTCTTGAATCACCACACGGTCCTGGTTTCCAGCATCACTGTTAACACAGAAAGAAATACTTGAAAAAACTGAAATTATTAAATGTATTTTGTCTGCTCCAAACCAACAGTGCAAAAGGAGCATTTTTTGTATTCCCCAAGATCAATTATCTTCATTTTGAAAATATGAATACCTAAAAATACCTGCTAAATCAAATTAAGTTGGGCAATTGAATCAAACTAAATAGGCTGTACTTTTCTGCTATATCGTCCTCAGCCACAAAATATTTATTGATAGAACCTTTATCTGCAGACTAACCACCAACTACAGCTTTCCAATTAAAGTGAACAAAATTGCAACAATTTTCTCTGAAATGAAGTGGAATAGTCACGTGTAGATGCATCTAAACTGTTATGAAGTACAGTATTGGAGTAAATATTCATAGATACTTATTTATAATTTAGTTACCTGGGGTTGACTTCCAAGTGGTAGTTGCTGGCTATTGTGTTAATCTCAATTTTCTTCTTTGAGGGGGCCTGGAGAAGAGACACAGAACGCAGGGATGCAGGTAAGCACTCAGAAGACTTGATTTAATCCCATGAGGGTGAGATGTCTGGAGGAACTGTTTGTTAGTGTTGTATTTGTAGGGCAGTAAGGCAGTGATTCTCCTCTCACCACGATGGTCTGGTGCTCGATGCGCAGCTTCTCCACCCCGGCTCCATACAGCTCCCTCAGCAGGCACATGATGCGGGTCTTCTTCCCCGCGCCTGAGGGCCCGTACACCAGCAAGTGAGGGAAGTCGCCACATTGAACCTAAAAACAACACATTTCAAAAATACGTTTTGCTTTATAAGAATACCTTTGCTTTCACTGGGCTATCCAATGTCTCATTTCCATTCGTTACGTGTATGAATGCTGGTCAGTGTTGCTTAGTAACGATAGCTGACTTGTAATACGTTTGGGTCGTTCAGTTGTTAAGACACTTATTTCATAATTAGCTTTTTCTAACAACATAACATAACATAAAAGCAAATATTTAAGAAAAGGAAGGGCATTGTTAGACCAATCTAGCCATAATGGTACTCAAATGACTAAACATTTGAAATCACACTAAAAGTTGTTTAATATGGTGGACATTGCTAGCACAGACAAGTTTACCTCAAGTTGCACTCACAAAATATGTTAATGACCAGGTTCATAGTGCCCATATATCTTGGTATAGCAAATTAAACGACATAATACTAGCCTTCATGCTGCTATTGCTTATAAAGCTAATGCTAACATAGCCTAAAAACACATTAAACCCAGCATACCATTTGTTTATCTTACCAGGTTTTTCAGCTGCGTTGCTTGGGCTTTATGATAGTCGAGTTTCCCGAGGGAAGTTGGTCGATATTTGTCCACCCACAAACTCATTGCGTTATGAATTTAGTAACTGTTATTGTCCGTGTTGACAGCAGCAGAAAGCCTGGCTCTCCCGCGAAATATTGTTCATACGCAACCCGCGCTGCTGCTACTTCCGGTGTGCTACGGAGAGTGGAAGGAGTCAAAATAGCTACAGGCGAGGGTTAGATTCATCTAATTCCACGTGAAACCGACAAAACTGTAAGTATGCTGCTAAACTGCACACCAGATTTGGCAGTACTTCATCTGACAACGACAGGGTATCAATAACTGCATTCTGACAGAATTATGAAGGCTGTCATACAGTATTAGTTGTATACAGCTAGTAGCATAATTGTGAAGTAGGGGCTACTTGTCATGTTGGAGAGCAAAATGTCCCTGATGTCCCAAAAGTTACAGTCACTTTTTGCAGGGGTGGAAAAGTACTCCTTTATCTCTAGTAGAAGTTACAATCCCATGGCCTAAAGATACTCCCTTCCAAGTACAGACGTTTTTATTATCAGCATTCTGCACTTATGCAGTATCAATGTAGTTTACTAAAAGTATTGTGCAGAATGGCTCCTCTCACACTGTAATTTAACTTTATAATATCTTGTTTTGTGTTTTTTTCAATAACAAATATGCCTTCATGTAAGAGAATGAATGTGGAGCCTATTTGAAATACTTTATTGGATTTATAGGAAATATATTATGACATCATATATAAGCATATCACATGCTTTTCTTATTCAAAAAGTAAACTAGCAACTATAAGATCTAAATAAATGTATTAGTGGAGCAGTATAAAGTAGATTAGAATGGAAATAGTAAAGGAAAATGGGTTTCTAGATTGTATTTAGTTTAGTTACTTTAGTGAATGACTCCAACAGTATATGACCCCCTCTAGTGCCACTCTTGCATGACTCTGCTGTTATGTTCAGATCTAAGTTAAGATGTGTGTGTGTATAGCACAGGAAAGCCCAGACGTATTGTGAGGAAGCCCAAGGGAGGACAAGGGGTTAGAAGGTACACAGCTAATGTTCCCCTTAAGGCGACACTACCAGATTAATCTGACTATATATCTTATAGAATTAAAAGGATAGCATCTTTTCTTTGTTGCAGGTGATTTGCAGGCATTTACAGTGCAGACAGTAAGGCTACAAGGATACCATCAAGGAATGTGAGATAGTCAATCCCATTCAACATAAAACAAAAGCTCACGTCACCATGCTGCCCTTCTTTAACTAGAAGGTTAAACAGGTTTTCTGAGTAGCTCTCTAAATGTGTTGGTCATTGCACAGGCGGTCCTAATAAATAACTCTTATTCTATGATTGCAATCAACTTAACCCATTCGATTTTTTAATAGTTACATTTGTGGGCCATGCAAAATGAAGAAAAAATAAATAAACTTAACATATAATCCATTCAGCAGTAAAGTACAACGTTTTAATTCTATGTGTTCTGTCATGCAGTGATCTTCACTTAATGCATGGGAATATTTGTTGTAAAAATCAGGTTTTTTTTTACACTGTATCTACTGTACACAGGGATAAAATAACACAGATTACATAACTCAGTGTGGGTGTATTAGCTAGTCTTGAAAAATACTATATGCTTCACTCAGTGGGAGTGATTTACTTAACAACATAATAAATCATAGCAGAGCTAAGATTTTATATTTTCAAGCATCATCCTTCTCTTTCTATTCTGTAATTGTTTTAGTGTATGTATACTGTGCCTACATGTCACATCTCACAATGCCTTCCTTTTCTCAGTTTTCCCCCCCTCGCCTTTCTACAGCATGACCCAGGTAAATATACGTCTCTATGACAGGAATGTTAATATATGGAGCAGCGTGTCTCAGCAGGTTAGCGTAGCTTGTACTGAAATACATGTTTGAGTAAAATTAATTGGCATCCATCCTCACAGCGATGTAGGACAGTGAAACATCTGGAATGGCTGGTGGAAGTTTATCAAGTTCATTCATGCAGGATAGAGTTCATTCATCAGATAGTTCAACATATGCTGATGCTGCATGGCCTTGCATTTAAAAATACTGGTGAAGTAAGATATGTTAAAGGTAATTCACCCGAAAACTCACTTAAACTTTCAATGGAACTTGGTCTGTGGTCTTTTTGACTGAACAATTCACCATACAGATTTTATTTGACATTGAGAAACCACTGACTGTCAATTGTCTGTCTCATTTCATTTATTTTGGAAAGACCTTATATTTCACTGAAGTGTAACAATGCTTAAAGTAGTTTTTTTCATGCGCTGTTCTTTGTATTTGAATCAATTACAGCCCATATCTGTATACCTCAAAAAATATATTTGATTGATAGTAAGCAAATGAGATTAAAATAGCTTTACTCTTAGGACACCCTGCATGTGTGACCAGATCTCCTCTCCCAAAGACCGTAAGGGTCAAACAGGCCTCAACACGCAGAGTCATCTTCAAAGTTAACGTACAAATAACAGGTCTTTACTCTTGACCTGCACAACATAAAATCCAATGTGTGCAGGCAAACTTGAGGAATTCCACAGTCCATCGACAGCTTTTTGAAGACCATAAATCATTTTTTTGGTTAATAAACACTTAGAGCGTTGCTGTACTTAGAAAAAAGTATGAACTGAGAGATTTAAAAGATGATAAGATCATGCTAAACTAAAGCATTACCTCATATGATGTTGAGGAATGTGCTTCCAAGGTGAAAAACCCTTTGCCTCTAGCCACGTTTAACAGCATTAAGTAGAAAGAAGGAATGGGGAGGGGCAACACGTCTCATTTGTTTAATTTATGTGCAGCTTCCTAATCAGTTTGATCATTTCCCCAACATACCTTCAGATTTCATTGCTTTTTGTGGATAATTTATCTTTTTTTAAATATCATCTTTATTTTCTGTCCTGCATATGCTTGCTTTTACGTGCAAAATAACAGCCACACGTGCGCACACAAGTAGCACACACACACCTGCCTGTGGAACTCACTGTCTTCTTGCTGAGGTAATGTAGGAGGGGAAAGCATTCCTCAACCCTTCCTTTTTCTCTCCTTCCCTCACACAGCATTTCATATCTCTTCAGAGGTAACCTCACTCTTTCTGCATTATCGGCGTCATGCAGTTTAGAAGCACTACGTAACGTTGCCTCAGCTGGATACTTGTGCTACGTCCAGGTTCTTCAGACTGATGTGTTGGATTCAAATGTTGGATGACAACTTCTGCACAATACTTCTGGTATGTTAAACAAGGTCATTCTTTGTTTGTTTTTAAAGCAACATGTTATTTGCTAAATTTTTTTTTTTAAATAAATCCGTCTCAGTTACAAATGATTACATAATCATTGAGATTGAGATTATTAATTGACATTAAGATGGTATAACGTTATTGTACAGTTATAAGTCTGAAGTAGGGCACTTTTCTGTTTATTTTGCATACATGGTGTCTTTGTTATACAGGTATATTTTAACCTTATAAGACCAACCACTGTGTGTTTTAAAAGACAAAGAAGAAAATGCCAATGGCAAGGGAAGGGTGTTGAACTCAGCCAAAAATATCCAGCAGGAAAAACAGTTTGAGCAAAAATGTGTTCGTCAAGAAAAGTCTGAGAGCTTACCGAGCGGTGCGCTGTGGGTTTTTTATCAAGACAGACTTGCTGTTGATGTGTAATTGGACTGTTGCATTACACATTATATCAGCCCAAATAATCCCTTTTAACTAATATCTAGTACTGATAGCACAGTCTTCACAGCATTAAAATAGTTGGGAAGTAATTACTGCTAAAGTAATTTAATGCAGTACCTGGCCACGTCTTAGTGAGAGGGAAATGACCTTATAGACATTTTTTCCCAAAACAATAGACATCAACACAAAGAAAATAAACCAACACTGTTCACAGATCATTTTGTAATAGGCAACCATTTAATTTCCGAGTTTACAAAAACCTAAACATTAAATACAAAATAATAATCATATCTCAGTTTTATTTAGATTTGGCACACACCATCAAAATTAATTGTCATTACCATTACACACACATCCATCTACTGAAACAAATGACACTGGATTATAGATGCACATTTTCTTTAGTGTGCACACGTGTGAACAATATGAATCGATTTGCCTAAAGTTACATCTCATGTCTCTTTTCTATCTCTCCCTTTCTCTCCAGCTCTGGAATTTCCTGGGACATCCAAATGTGGGCCACTCACACTTTGTTTCAGGAGCTGTACGTGACCTGACAGCTCATCTGGTTCTGTCTGAATGAGGAAAACTCTCCACAAAGACTGAACAGGGGAGAACTGGTTCCCTAGTGATGCATGGAGCTTCCTCTGCAGTGCCGGTTGAGCAGCAGCCTTACAGGCACAGTCACCCCCAGGCTGTGGGTGTCTCTTTGAGTGACCTGCAAGGTAATGTTCTTAAATCAAAGCTCCAACAGCCAACTGAGAACCATGCCTGAACCTGTTCCTCTGCCACATGGAGATACGACTCAGCCGGACTTGGCTCAGGAAGGACTCTGTGGATGCAGACAGAGTTCAGACATGGCTCCTGGCGTGGATCAAAGTGGAGACCATCTGCCAGAATCCATGAAAGCATCAGAGTGCGGTTCATCTGAACTGCTAAGAGTAGTGAAGCACAAACCGAGTGCCATTGTGTTCTGTGATCATGATGGTAACACGGACAACAAGGTGATCTCTGATGATGGAGAGTCCTCTTCATCCACTGCTGAAGAGGGAGAGGATGATGAGGAGGATGTTATTCCCGAGATGTCACAATATAAGGAATTCCTGGTCAGTCGTCAGCGTAGAAACTTGAGCAGGAAGTGCTTGAGAAAGAGACCGGATGCCCAGCCTGATAACGCTGCATCTGGCTTGCAAGAGCCCCCCGACGAGGAAGAACCTGAGATCGCAGGTAGCCAGGAGGAAGAGGAAGCGCCTCAGAACGATGAGGAACAGGTAAGAAAAACGAGAGAGGAGAAGAGTGATAATAAAGACAAAGAAGTGTTATTCACTGTGCAGAAGAGCATTGCTTTGTTCCACTGCACTGCAGACATGTTGACTTCTCAAAGTGGGAAAAGCATGTTTTGCTTATAGCCTTTACAATGGCTCTGTTGTTTTAAGTAAGTCATGGGCAGGCATGAGCTATACCAGGACCCTAAAACTAAAACAGCTAAATGGAATTAAGCATTCGTTAATTGTATAATGTTCACCTGTGCTTTTCCCATTGTTACATAACAAACAGCCTCAGTAAAAAAGGCACATTTTGTAACTGTCTTTACTACTTCCACCACTAGAGGGCGGCAAGTTGTTTCAAATGATTCACCAGGAGCTTGTTTACATTGTGTTAATGTATTGTAATCTTTATTAGCATTTCTTAATATCAACTCGGAACAATTAAATGGATTAATATACTTTACAGTATAATGTAGGGTAGTTAATACATCCTGATGAATTAGTGGCTATAGATGTATAATTATGAAGTATCTGATATGAAAAATACTTCTGACTGGGCTTCTTTGTTGCATGTCATCCTCCTCTTTCGGTCAAGCTGAATAAAATAAGAAATCTTAAGAAAACATAGCCTGTTGCAGCACTCTATATCTAGCAGAAAAGCATTACAGCTCTTTTTACTTTTTTTTTAACTAGCGTGCTATGCTCAATTATGCTTCCAAAATATTGTGGGATAAAGAGTTCATAATCGTTTGAAGTCTTTACAAAACGAGTCTTTGAAGTGAAAGAGAAAACGTGTTAAATAAAACAGGGATCTGAATAAAAATGTTGGCAGGTACACCTTCAATCATAAATTCCTCAAATGTTTCTCCTGGCCCGATCTGGCATCTCCAGCTCCCAGCATGCACTGTGCCAGCGGGTATCCATAGTAGTAATAGTGTGAGCGCGCCCCTGACCGCGTTCTCACACCTGTCAGAGCGGCCCTCAGCCCTCTGGCACGCTGCACACTGTTCTCCCTGTTGGACTGAAATGAAAGGATTTGTTCTCTCCGCCCTCCTTTTGTGATGTCGTTCACAGAGTTTGACCAAGTAGCTTCTAAAGTCACTTATTGACAGGCTTAGGCCGTGCTCATTTGAATACCTGTTAAGTCAAAGAGGCCCCTTGTGGTTCCACATTCTTGAATTACTAGGTCCAGGCCGTTTGGTCAAACTCAGCAGTGTGGGTAACAATTTAGAGAGAAGTATTAAAACTGCAATAAGATTGATATTGATCTGACAAGCATATATGTCAGCGCTGTTTGTTATTTGACCCTCAGCATGGTCTATAGGCACATGGCACATTACTGTCTCACCCAAATTAGCGGTAACATTTAGTTGTATTTTTCCACTTAGTGTACAAGCCTGCCATGATCTTTTTTTATAGATACAGGCGCGTGACTTTTAAATGTTTAAGATTTATTGTTAAAGATAACAACTATAGAGTTAGGGACATATGGTCCAGTCAGTCACAACTGTCATGTCCAGTGGTATATTAAGCCTCTTGATTTTGAAGATCACCAGACTAAGTTAGCAAGTGAGACAACTGCTCACATAAGTACAGAAATAAAGACTAACAAATCCATTTAGCAATATTAAGGTTATGCGCAATATACACTTATTTTATTTTACAATTCATCATGATTTGTTGAGGTAACCGGCTCCTTCAATACTTTTAGATTTCCGCCTGCGATTTTAAATACTGCTACATGTATTTACCATGGTGTACTTATTTGTTTGTATGTGTATTACTGTGTTACTGCTGTAACACTGTAAATTCCTCCCCTGCCCTACCAAAAAAGGATTTCTGATGTATCCTCTCTTCTGCCATAAGATCATTTGTCAGAATAATTATTGAGTTAGAGTAGCTAATTATGACGTTACACTTTCAACACTATATTGTCATTTAGTCATGTGCAAATAGCTTCTTATTTCAGTATTGCCAAGCACTTTACTGCCAGAGCAAGGATAGCCTTCACTTACTTATTCATATTCTTAGCCTGTCATGATAATGGCTCTTTTAGTGTTTCAAAGACAGCTCAGTGGATAATGAAATGGTCTTGTAGCAGATATATAGTGATGCATTAAGAGCTCTATCCTCTGTAAACACTTTGGTTAGAAGCTTATTAACATTTCATGAACTCAGGGAGCACTCTGCTGTGAAGAGTGAGTGTGTGCAAATGGATGTCTGCGCCATGGTATGCATCTGTGCTCACATTAGCACATTCAACGCTCTACTCTGCGTAAGTTCATGTTTGCAGTCAGTCATGCCAACGAAAAGCCTCCACTTTCTGTTTTCTCCCCTCGCCCCGGCTCTGTCCCCCACAGTGAGGGTAAAAATAGCACCCTGCTGCACATAGACAGCCTTCTGTGTTCCTGTGTGTAGGAATCTGGAGATGTGGGGGCTGTAACACACAGGAAATGGCTTTACTGCCAAAGCTGTTACTGCAGAACTTTTTTAAACTGGTCAACATGATGGGGTTTGGGAATGGGAGTGGACAGAAGGGTGTGTTTGTGTGTGTGAGTGGGTGGTTGGGTAGGTGAGGGCTTGCTTGTGTGCATGCATGTATGTGTGTGAGTGAGTGGGCTGTTTTTGGACTTCATGCTCCTCAAAGGGGCCCTATGTGCTGCTATCAGCCTCTGGGACTCAGGGATTGGCAGCAGAGCCCAGAAACAAAGCAGTTTGTTCATTTCCTGGACGGCCAGCGAACAAGTGTCTCAGTCAGAGTCCATGACCAATGGGTGGGGAGGGAAAGAGATGGAGAGCGAGGGTTTAGGTATGTGCATAACTGAGCTGTATGTAGTGGACATGCATTACAACACATTAACATAACTGGCCCAACGCTGTTTTTAAAATATAGTTTAAAGCCAGTTTATTAAGGTCTCCTGGTTTTAATATTTCTCTTTCATCCAAGGCTCCTCTCCTCCTTGCTCTGCAATAAAGTCATTGAGAAGGTGTCACTTCCTCCACAGTCCAGGGCACACTGTGTACCCCTAGTGGGGCTGAAAAAGCTGCTCATGTGCGTGGAGGCTTACGGCAATGAAGGGTGGAGTAGGTGGATGAGGAAGAGGAGTGTGTGTTGGTTAAGGTTCAACAGATTTCTCCGAGAGCAGCATTCATCAGTGCAAGGTTAACACCAGAGTTTGTCCTTGAGCCATATTTACCTGTGTGTGTGTGTGTGTATTTGTCTGTGTGTGTCCTCTGCCCTGTGTGTTCAGGCTGCTGCATCCATGAATCTGCTTTGGGAAAAGTTGGATCACCTCGATGAGGGGACCCAGGAAGTCCAAAACTCCCACTCAGACGAGGCCAATGACGAGGAGCAGCAGAGCACCGCGGTAAGTTAGTTCATTTAAATCAAGTCAGGTCTGATTTTGTTTAAAGGCCTTAAACAAGCTCTTGGATTTGAAGCTTTATAAGAACAAATGTCACAAGAGATAAAAAGCTCAATGAAGAAGCCAGTCATAAAGGTGAAGTTAGGGAGCTGTAAATACTATACTGAAAGACTGCAACGTTTTTAAATGGAGACTAGAGAGACTTTCCCCTCAAAAGATGGAAATGTGTTAAATAGCCCACCAGCTTCATTTCATTAAAACACATATTTTATGAAGATTATTCAAAGGTGATTAATCAGGCCTAAATGGGGCTCACAATTGTATGATATTAGGTTTTTTTTATAAGGAATGTAACTTCATTCGTAATACAATACGGACGTTCGCATGGGAGTATTACCATATCTTTTGTGAATTACAAATGATTTGCTATCATCAGTAATCACTACCTTAATATGACATTTTCTCCACTAAAGTCGGTCATTCATTCAAGTTAGAAAGCTGCTGTGAGTTTTAAAAAGTGTATTAATTGCATGAACATTTTGAAATAACCCTTATTAGAATTCAAAATGATTGACGTGAATAATATAACTTTGATTCGACAGCAGCTTAGCTATAGTAGCATTACTCTCAGTATTATATCCATTTCAGCCACAGTTCATTACTATAGCCCTACTTTACACCACACCATTGGAGGCCACACACACTCATGCACAATTTACCATTGACTCATCATACAGTGTACCACACACATGTTTGGCTCCTAATTGGAATGGGTTGCCATGCTTGCATTCTCTCCCCCTATTTAACATGTGGTAGATTACATTAATTAAGAATAATAGTTTGGATCGGCTCCAATCCTGTTGTTCTTTCCGCCACTAAAGCCTTTTCTAAATCAGATGGTTTCTGTCCGGCATCCATCTGTAAAACCCTCCATGTTCCTCAGATAGTAAGAGCTGAACTCACACCAGCTTTCTGATATTTTAGAGGTTTATTTAACATCATTTCTGGATGGAGTTGTAGCCAGCTCCTGTGCTCCTCTGCTCTGCTCTCACGTTACATTCCTGCTGCCTCATTATGCTTACCAAGTATACATCTGGTAACCTCAAAAAGCTCTTAAACCAACAGCACAGAACTTTAGGAATTCTTATAAAAGGGCTACATTTAATCCAGCTAATCTTAATCAAACTACCTGGCAGGCGATTAAAACAACAGACCTTTTTTTTTTTTAGCAATGTGTCTCACAGCTGTCAATTATATGTATGTATCACTAAAGTAACTTATTCTCAGTCGGTAATATATAGATTTTTTGAAGTAACCTATTAAGGTAATATACACAATTAAACACAATTTATTGGTCAATAAAAAAAAGATCAATAAGAATTCAGTTCAGCCTGCCTGAAAGATGAAGAGGAGCACAGAGAGCATTTATTTAAAAAATGTCAAATATGTATACGGTAATAAATATTGAATCACCTCAGCACAGAACATTAATGTGTCATTTTGTGTTATATTTTTAGGGGGTAAAAGGCATTCAGGTTTGGGTACAGGGCTGAGTAATTGAATATCAAAACTTTATCTTAAATACCCTGCAAAAAGTTCCTATTTGTTAGATTAGAAAGAACAGAACAGTCCAAACAAAAATAAGAATACCAAATGTGTAAATAGAGAAAGTCATGCCCGAATTAGAAATTCAGATGACTTGTACTCTGTTTTGGGGACACAGTGTCCTTCATGTTGTTTTCCAAGTGTGACCGCAAAATTAGCAACGGCTCATGCCATCTCTATGAGGGAAATGCTCCACAGGGTCAGAAAGGGAATTTACTACACAGACAGGCATTGTGTGTTGTGATGAACGGAAAATGTGTCTCTCTGTGCTCTCTGTTGAAGATTGGATTCTTGTGCCTTGTTTACAGAAACGTATGCCATTCCTCCCGCACTTTCAGTTACACTCTTGTTTTCACTCTCATTTTCACACACACACATGTTATCAGTAAAGTGTTGGACGGGAGGGGAGAGCGGGAAGAGGGTCTTCTCACTGAAGTGGGTACAGTAGTTGAGTCATGAGGTTTAGCAGGGATGGACTTTCCAGTGTTGTCAGTGAGTCAAAGATAGATAAGGATGGACTGGATGAGAGGGGATTTTTCAGAATAAGAGAAGGGCAGGCGCATCATCAGCAGTGTCTTATATCTTCAAACACTCCCCACCAACATCAGCTCAACTAAAACTCTACAGAAAACAAACTGAGATACAGAGAGCTGCTGAAGAGGCATGTGACATAAAGACAGGGACATCTATAAAAGACTGGAGAGGACAGAGCTACATAGAGAGGCATAATACAGATGCTACAGGGTAAGTAAACATTACTTTTCAGACATAATCGCCATAAAAATAAGCAAAGTAGACACATATCAGAAGACTGTAAAGCAGTTAAAACTGTATGTCAGTCGTCTTGACAACATTAAGGTCAAAGACAAGAGTTTCTTAGAATAGCATACAGTGGAAAATGTCAAAAAACATATTCTCTTCCGAGAGTTAAAACAGATAGAAACTAACAGGGTTTACAGGATAGGTGTTATCTTGTGAAAAAGTTGATGTAAAAAAGCTGAAAGAGCATGTTTGGGAAATGAATTGATCTTATTTAATGAACGTTTTGCCTTATTTATAACTTTTGTCAAACATTTATGAAGCTAAGAAAAACATCCTCAGCCCGGTCCACTCCTCAGCTGTCACAGAGCGTTTCATTAAAAAGGTCATCCTAGCATTTGGAGTTTCCCAGATGATGCTGTTTAAACTTCCATTTATTCTGGGAACTTTAAGGATTCCCTGTATTAGCGAAAAAGTGCCAGGATGTGTATTTGTATTTTCCAAGTGCTGTTCCCAAGGTCAAGATTGAAATGTAAAGTAAACATGGATGGGAAGTCCTTTAAGTGCTCAGAAAAAAAAGGGAATTTGAACAGTATTTTGACCCCTGGGAAACCTCATCTGCTGAGGAAAATCATGTGATATGATGAAAGGCTCCAGATATAATACTGAGTGGAACTTGTGGTGAGGTTGTTTTTGTCAGCTACCGTTTTCTAAGTTCAAAAAAGGAACTTTAAGTCTCAATTTAGGTTTTTGTGTTTGGCTTGGAAGAAACACGCATCTTTTCTGTTCATCTGACTTCTTCTTCTCTGTCCTCCCAGGGTGCTCGGGGGGGTTGTAGGACGTTGGGCCGATCACTGAGTCTGGATCAGGAAAGCTCCAGAGCTGCAGACAAGCATGAGCCACTGACCAGGCAGCGCTCACGACCTTTGACCCGCAGCAGACCGCTGACCCGCGCCTCCCTCTCGTCCCCTGCTCACCTCCATGCTCGATGGGCCAGGGTGAGACAAACTTTACTTCTGTGTGTGTGTGTGTGTGAGTCCTATTGAAAGTGAAGTTCAGTCTGCTCAAACTCTGAACTCATGGCAACAACTTGAGGCTATAATGAGTGTTTGTGGTCATGTTTGTTTACGCTTCTTCCTTCTACTGCTCACTACACATTATAGAAAGAAAGTCGTTCTACCCTGAGCACTTTATTCAAACACAAATGCAACTAGGCTACCGTCTACTGCAGTGTTTGTCTACTGATTATAGCGTCAGCAGATATGATCTCTGTGATGCACCCTCAATTTGGTTAGCTTAAAGACTTAATCTAGATCTTCTGTTTACAGCATGGACACTTAATTACATCTCACACTTTGAAGCTGACCGTGCAGACACATCTGATTGATAAAGTTGATCAGTTAACCATATGAGGAAAAGGTTTTGATGTATCCCAAACTCAATTTGTTACATCATTAGAGCGAGACCTTCCGTCTCATATTGTGTATTTTATGTAATAGTGACTTGTTTGGGGCAAAGTGTGCTGAAATAAATAGTGTGATCTTGGCGTGAATGTTCTTGTTATATACGTTGTCTTTCTACCTAAAGCTACAGCTAAATCTTCTATTTCTTATCATTTACACCCTCCCTGTTCTTCCTCCATGATCTCTCCTCCCTCTCTCCGGGCTTCTGTCCAGTCTGCATGTCCCCTGCTGTTGTGTAAATAAGGTGAAAGTAAAAGGATGAGACAGCTCTGCTCCATATACAGCAGTCTGCAAGCTCAGCTTATTCTGAGTCAGCACTGCAGCATCAACTAAAACGACCACAAATACCACCGCAACATGCTCAAGATGAAGGGAGGCAATGTGCAAGAAGATGTGGACTTGGGTTTAGTTGATGCTAATATTTCACAATTATGAAATGGCAAAAACATCTACTATGGATGTTAGTTCTTGACAATCAAAATAGTAGTTTGACAAACTACTATTACCAATTTACAGTTGGCTCAGGTGGAATACAAACTCAGTTGCTATTAGCGCTTTTTAGGACTTATTGTCCATAAGTTGAGAGTAACATTTCATTCTTGATCTTAGAAATTGTAGTAAACAGAAAAGGTGATTAAGACCTCTGGGAAAATTCAGAGATTGTTTAGTCAGAATTTCTCAATATTTAGGTGGCTTCATTACAAACTGTGGTTTGCAGGTAAAAAGGGTCCAGATGTTAAAATGCAAACATTTCTTTTTGTTTTTTTAAACAGTTGAGCTCACAATATAGGTTACACCATGAATTATTGTCATTTTCATTATGTTAAAACAACAATTATACAATTAAGAAATCTGATAAACGGTCACTTCTCCGACAAATATTTCTCAGTTTTTAACTGGACATCTGTACATTTCCAACAACAAAGAAACAAAAGCCGGGTTTTCAAATCAAATCATTGCTCACACGGGTGCCCAAAATAGAAAGCTTGCTTCTGCAGTATACAACGTTACATGACGTCGGTCGGCCTGCAGTGGAGCCTGAAGTGTCAGAGTTATTAGTTGAGTGTGTGTAAGTGTGTGTTAGTGTGTGTAGGCAGAGAGCAGCAGGGGCCGTGGGATCAGACTGATGCTAAAGAGTGGGTTTATTTTCCCCCAACCATGACTGATAAAGTACAGCTGTCCAAACTGCCGTGGACACACACACACACACGCACACGCAAACACGCACACATACGCATAGACTTCTTCTCTGCTCCAAATGTAAAGCATACTTTGAAAATGTATTTAAATCTGGCAGCAATGCAGCCATTTATGAATACATTTTCTTTTTCTATCACTTTTTAAAGAAAACACTCTTTTGTGAAAGAGAAGCCATTCATTGTTTTGGTTGGTGATTGTATAACTTAAATATTGGAAAGGTGCCATTTTATACTTTTATATTTTGTGTTCACCTAAATACTGAATTAAATGAGTCCTGGTTGTCATTCTTTTGTTAGTAAGACATCTTTTCACAGATAAAGTAAAGTAAATATCAGTCATGAAATTGAAATTGAAATCTGAGTACACCACTTGTCTTTTTAAAACTTGAATCAACAGATGAGATGATGTCTTGTTTGTTTAGCAATCTACAGTTTATGATCTCAGGAATGAGAGAAGCCCCGGGGGAATCGTGCAGCATTTCCTGTGTAATTGTAAAACTGCTGCTGCATCATTTGGTAAAACCCTGCTTCTTTACATTTGTATGGATGTGGGGTTTTCCTATGACAGTGGTAGCACTCATGATAAACTGTGTTTTTATAATGTTTCACACAGTGGTTAGGCAACAAATCTTTGACATTTTGTTACCTGTTTTGTCCATTTTTGCAAGTTCTCTGACTTTTTAAGGAGAACATAGTGTGTGACGTACTCCTTAAGATCAGAGTCTAAGCTTTCATTTCCTGTGTTAATATACTAGCTACTGAATATTTGATTCCTGGGTTGTTCTTGGTGGATTTTAATCTTGCTTTTCTTGATGTTATAGTCTTCCCTCTTTTTTTTTCTTCTTCCCTTGTTAATATTTATTTTAAAAAACAGTTACTATCATCCATACACAAACCTTAAGTTGCTTTGCCTGAAGGGGATCCGTGCCATTCATTAAGCCAATATCACCCAATTAAACAATCAATGTTCACTTTGAAATCAAACTTATCTTTGGTTGATATCCAAACAAATAAGCTACTTGGGCTGGGTGGGTTTTCATACGATCTTATGGCATACACACTCAGGAAATCAGCTTCTGCTTGTTAAACCAAATTGAAATGTTCCCAGCGTAGCTACTGCTGCTGCTGAACGAGGACAGTGTGCATCATGGGAACTGAGTCATTGCCATTGGCTGACGCAGAGTTTACATTCCCTAAAGCTTCCGAGTGTTCATGTGTACACTAAGTATTTGTATATTTTATTGCTTTTGTTTTGGTATTCACTGTGTATTTTTTTCTTTTTGTGTAATTGCAGGCTGCTGGAAGGATGACCAATGGATGTGCAGGTATGATAAGTGTGAGTGTGTGTGTGTATGTGTGTGTTGGGTTTCAGTGTGTGTGTGTGTGGAGCGGATGCTTGTGTGCACCTAGTATCCATTCAGTAGGATTGTTTGCATTCCCGCTTTGGGATAAAACTGGACTTCTGGGAATGTCTCCCACAGGATTTCCAGCCAGTGTGTCAAACCTCAACCACCCAGAAGTAATGATACACTGTTTCTACTTTCACACACACACACACACACACACACACACACACACACACACACACACACACACACACACACACACACACACACACACACACACACACACACACACACACACACACACACAAAGCCCTGCCTGTACACATACACAACACATGCATATTCAGGTGCATAAACAAAGATGATGCGGTCAAGCTCATACAAAAACACAAACACTTTGAGCTCTGACGTTTAGTGGAATTTGTCTCGTGATAACACTCAGAAGCTTTCAGCAGAACAACATTATTCAACATGTCTCTTGTTATATATATTATTATCTTAACAGTTTGTCTTTGTTCTCTTTGGGAGTGCATTTGACACAGACAGTGATACGAGAGTCTGAGGAGATGATTAATGAGTCCAACTCTGACCCCTGACCATATCTCTTATCCTCAGTGTCCCTTTTTGATTGACATGCACAGGCGTCATGGCGACTGTAATTAACAACAACCCCGGGAGATGTCTCGCATTCGCCGCACTGTGGCTCTGTTTATTTGGTGTGTTTTCTCTTAATGCGTGTGTGTGTGAGCTCTCACATCGTGTTCTTGTGTGTGTGTGTGTACATTTTGGGGTGTCTCCAATGACCACCAGCGAGGGTCACATTTCTGTCAATGATAGTCCTTGGAGGAGAGGTGCACTGTGGGTAATGAGGCCCCAGAGGCTGTAGGAGGTCAGAGGTGATGCCGACGGTGGCATACGATGCTGAGGTTGAGAGTGTGTGTGCTGGAGAGACAGAAACATTTCATACAAACACGGCAGCGCTGAGCGAGGAGTGTAGATTAGTTCATTGTTTGGGTGTTCGTGCTTCACGTTTGTTTTCTCACTTGAGTGTTTATTTTCCTCTGATATGAGGAAACACTTTGGCTCTTTGAAAGAAATCCTGTCTAATCAATCACGTGTTTTTCGGCCTGTGTGGGCCGTGTCCCAGCTGCAAAGGGACAGGATATGATATGCTCATATCTCTGCTCACATAGCTGACATTTAATCTGCCCTCTGCCAGATAAACAGGGAATTCCTCCAACAAAGTATAACCAGAACGTATGGAGGTCCCATTATCAGGCTGTACATTTTCTTTAATCATGTTTAGCGTATATCTTTTGATGTCTTTTTTGAGTGTGACTTGTCTGTGGGTGTGTGTATGAGTGAACGCATGCCAGGATGGTATGTGGTTTAATTCCCCCCCCCCCCCTACCCTCGAGCCACCCGGGGAAACTTTTAATCCATGTAAAGATGAAAGGATTTATTTTTAATACATTTTTTGGGAGGAATTAATATGCAATACCAGAGGAGTATTTTTGTATACATGCTTAAGAGCTTTACTTGGCCTCCAGTTCGTTTGCATTTCAGTGATCTCTTAATCTTTGAGGTCACCTCCACAGTGCAGACTGTTACCTCAGGTCCACTACACATGCACAAAACTGGATTCTTCAGCAGTCAAATATTATTGTGGACTTAAAATGAATGACTTGATTACCTCCCCATCTCAAAAGTAACACATGTCCTAAAAGGAGCAAATCGATTATTTGTTTATTACTGGAACTAAGCAGCAAATCAGGTTTCATACACACACAACGTTTAGGAATTGGTCACGCAAATGTTGGTTTCGACTTGGAACTAACTCAAGACTGCCAACATTTTACTTAAAGTGGACCTATCATGCTATATTTTAATAATATAGTGTAGGACCATACCTATATAAGGCATATTTATACTTTTTTTTGTAAATGATAGGTCCCCTTTAAGCAAAACAATTACTTCGCCCAGCATTTGATCAATAACATAACTTCTTCTTCTTCTTCTAAAAAAAAAAGTTTAATCACAGAATATTTCATTTTCATTTTTTTTTTTTCATGATTAGGATATCTGAAACTCTGTGTGAATAAACTTCCTCATAGCACTGTGATTTACCCTATATTAATTATTTACATTAGCGTAATAATAACTTTGCTATACGTCAATATTGGGAGTTTGGGTCCAGCACATGAATGTAGTTTTCTTCTAGCTGTTCATTCCAGCTCTACATGTTTTCAGACAAGCTAGATGATTACACTACCACCACTCTGGTAACAATTGCAATCAAATACATTTTAGAAGACTATTTTAGAGCAGTGATCATGAGCCAAATACACACTGACACAAATTCTCTACACTTTCAATGCAGTCCAGAATTATATAAAAAAAACATGTAATCCATCAGAAGTACTTTACTGGAAAGGGCTCGGGGAGGCTTTGAATATCTCGACCTATATACAGTAGCTTGTGAATCTGTTTAGGGTGTCCCTTGCATGTCTGTGAATATGTTTTATGACTGTTTTATAAAATGTCTGACTGGAGGAATTCAGCTGATTTATAGCTGAATTCTTAACCTCGAGGTAGTGTCATGCTGATATTGAATTAAAATGGTTTTAGCTTTTAGTAAAATCACATTTCTTGTAAAAGTGCTAAATCTGTCGGAGGCTTCAGTCAGTGTATGATTGTTGGGGGTGTTTGAGACTGTCATTATGTGTTAGGCACATCTCCCACAGAAAAGCAGTTGGCTCAGCAATTAACTTGCAATAAACCTTTAAAACGTAATAACGGTCGCTTGCTGTGGTGTTAATGTGTGTGTGATTGTGTGTGTGTGCGCTCATGTGTAGACCCACCAGAGTGCATACATTAAAGGTTAGTGATGCAAGGAGGTCCCTTATTAACTGAGTAAGTGAGCCTGTGTGTGTGTGTGTCTATGTTCGTGTGTGGTTAATATTGCAGCAGTGTGCAGCAGTGCTTTAACAAGTCTGGAAGTGGATTTGGCCGGCGTCCCAGTCTCTCCCTCTGTTCCTACCCTCACCTTTCCTTTTTCCATTTTCCTCTGTCTTTCCGCCCTCTGCTGTCTTTTCTGATCTTCCAAATTGTAACTTGACCCCCACAATGACATTGTGTTTGTTGTCCATGTCTGTTTTCCATCTGGATTTGTTCCACTGTAACTGTTTGCTTTGTGCATTATATTATTGCTGTTGACCTAAACCTCCAATGCCTTCATGTGTAAAGAACATGCATGCAACACTACTTGAAAATGCATTGAAACCCAATCAAACACACACATTCACTGTAGTTCTATGTTTTCCACAATCCTGAGACCCTTATCTAACTTTGACCCGCTCCTTAGACTTAATTACTCCAAAGTCCCAAACCATAAATGTACTTTTTATCAACCCATTTGCCCAAAGAAATTTTTTTATGATAACAAAGGAATTACAGAATATTTATTGTAATTGGACAAATGGATATACTTTGGACAAGTATCTAACAGTACACCTTTGAAGTTTTTATATCACATGACAAATGAACACTTTTTCTAAACTGTCAAAGTGCCGATTTTTGAAAAAAATAGAAAACAATGTTTTTTGTGTGCAGATCTTGAATATTCAACTTGTGTTAGTTCAATGACACTGAAAGCTTCATTGTGCTTATTAAAGTTTCTGATACAGCCATTTCAAAAGAAAAATTAAAACTCAATTTGCATGCAAACAGGTTAACTGATTTAGTACATTTAATCAGATGTGTGCTAAGACAGGGAGAGAACACTACCAACACAAATGGAGTTATCCGATAAATTAAAATCACACACACACGCTGTAAACACCAACATATATCACCTTATAAATCTGTTTCGGAAAAGAGTTGCCTCCTTGAACAACCAGCAGATACCGAGCAATGTTAGCATTATTAGGAGATATGTTTGTGTGCCTTTTCGCTCTGGTTTGGTCTCCACCAACTCTTAAATGTAGATATCGGGCTGCTTAATGCCCCTCTATGTTCACAGAGTAACTGCCTGTCTGCTGTCTGTGTGTGGTGGGCAGCATTAAGTTGTTTTTTAGAGCTTTGTCACTGATTACAGCTGCCTGCTGCGACTGGAAATACACAGTAACCATAACAGTCAGATGCAGGCCATAAAACCAAAACAACAAGCCGAAAGATTGTAAAACTCTGTATTTGTGTGTGTATGTGCTCGTCTGTTTACACATATTTGTGTATTGAATGTACACACTTGTATGTTCCTGTGTGGTCCTGCAACCCTACACTAGCCCAGGAAAAAGGCTTGAGGAAGGAGGTTGGTCCTTGAGGATTTTCCTTCTAAAATGCTTATTTTAACAGCTTAAACCCTCACTATATGTGTATGGCTCCTGAGTGCCTTTTTAGAACGATACACTCAGCAACAAGGCCTCCTATCAGCATGTGATCTGCACCCCCATGACCCGTGAAGTTTCCTCCGTGTCCATTAGCTATTGTTTCCCCTCCCGGTCCTGCCCCGGGTCCTGCTCCTTCCATACCACAGTCTGTACCCCGTAGCCCTCGCACTCGGCTTTCAAAACCCCCACGTCTGTCTCCACATAAGACGTCTCCCCCTCCCCATTCAGTGCCATACCTTAGGCTGAGGCTGCTTCCCATCTACCAGCCCCGACTTCCCTTGTTTCCCATCTGTATCATCTGTCCTCCTTGGTCCCTACATTGAGACCTTTGCTTTGTGTCCCCCGGCCTCAGGCAGGCCACAGTGATAGCCATCTCCTGCTAGGATCCAATAGGAGGTGGGTGAAGTCAACAGACTTATCATTGCAATTCGTAGAGGGGAAGTTGTTTTTGTTGTTACTGGAGAGAAAGTATGAGGATATACACAATGAATTAGCTCGTGACCCACTTTCCTCATGGCTCGTTTTCAAAAGGAAGTGACCAGAGCGGCATTCTTTGATTGACAGAGACACGCTGATACTTCATTCAAGCCC